ACAAACACACTCTTAGTTCTTAAAGAGTATAATATTTTAGTTTTTGACTAATAGGTAGTAGGGAAATTGCTAGCAAAATAGAAAAAGCCATAAAATGATGCATGAACAGCAAAAGAGAAAATTATTTCTCTTAATAAAAGATGTCAGAACACAGTGGGGACCATTCTTAGAAACTCTACAATGGAATCATGTCATTTCTTATTAACTACTTTATATTGTGGTGGTTAGAGAATCTTGACATTAGCATCCATCATGTTTAATGTAAACACAGAACAACGATTTGTTTGCATAGTTCATTTTTATTTCAAGCTGGACATTTTCTCAATATTCAGGGCTAATTCTCCTTTATTAAAAATGATAGAATCCAGTGGTGTCTCATAAAAATAACTAACCATCACTATGAGCCAGAGTGTCAGATACAATAGAAGGACAGTCATGAAAGGAAAGCAAAACCAAAAAGGTTTCTTTCTGGAGAGTATAGGACAAACATACAAATGATCAAATACATTCTATGGGCAAGGGAAGTACAAACTTCAAAGGAAAGTTCTCACTGTTAAGAAGGCATCAGTACCCAGTCTTGAAATGGAAGGGGAACATTCACACACACATTTAGTGGAAGGAAACTCAACAGGGCCAACTCTGAGGCTTTCTGACCAACATCTGATTACAAGATGACCACCTTTAGGGTCACAAAGAAAATGTATCATACAGTTAGTGTGAGATTGTGTAAGAGGCTCTGTAGATCATATATGTATGCCAATTAAGAATTCTGTATTGATGAGATGGTGAAGGCGTAAGTCACAAACAATCCCACACCAGTTTGGAATTATGATTAATAGAATGGTTATTTATTCAAAGGGGGAAAAACTTACAGATTACCGTCCCAGACAACAGCCCCTCTGCCCGATCTGGAAAGGAGTCTAGGAGCCAGAAGCGGAGCCGGAAGCGGAGCCGGAAGCCAGAGAGAGAATGGAGGACTGCCGCTGCTTTTTTAAAGAGAGAGAGAGACCACACCCCAATGGGCTGGTATCTCAGTGGCTATTGGCTGAAGGAGCGAAAGGAGCTCCCGCAGCAAGATGGGAAGGTTAAGAGAGAAGTTCTAATAAAAAAAAATGAATTGTTTTAGCTTCTATTTTAAATGAGTTGGCCTATGTAGAGAGTAACCACAACTCTATGTGGATCCCGAAGGACTCCCTCACATCACACACACACACACGACACATGAATACATGCACACACACACACACACATACACACACGACACATGAATACATGCACACACACACACACACACACACATACACACACACACACGACAACTACAGCTTCATTTGGCTCCAACTCAAGGGTAAGTATGCATCTGGTAGGAAAAATTCTTTGGAGTTTGAGCTCATCTGAGGAATTGCATACCTAAGATCATGCTCTTTGTCATTGGAAAGCAAACAGGATCAGTGAAAAAGGGACGGACATAAGAAGCAGAGAAGGACAGAGCTTCCAAGACATTTTCAGTCTCTTCATGATAACTGAAGAGACATCCATGAGGCTTAAGTGCTATCCTGCCTACTCTTTGCATAGAATGAAGGCTCGTGTTCTCTTAAGGGGGGGATGCATGAAAACATAACATGGTTCAGAGAGAGAAGGGTCTGACTTTCTTAGACTGGAAAGTTCTGTCTCCAGTTAGTATGGCTCACTGAAAATAATGGAGAGTGTTGCAAAATACCCAATACAGATGTCCACAGCATGTTTCCACCTATGAGGGAGCAGGAGCTACTGAAGAAATATTTATTCTAGGTCTGTGGGAGGTAAAGAAATCTGAAAACTTTTTCAGACCAGAAACTTGAGAAAATTAAAGTACATTAGTCTTATGTCAAGTTGACTTAAAGAGACAATTCTGCGAGGTCTTCCTGACTGGCTCTGTGATAGCTGGAACATCAATAAGAATAATGACTCCAATAACAGCTAATATGTTATAACTCATGAATTCATAATAGTTTTTAAATCACGAGAAATTTAAATTTTGTTAGGAGCCTAGAGATTTTTGGAAAATTTATTGGTTACATAAAGACTGTAACAAAAACTTGAATAAGTGAAGAATGCATTGCTCATTCTAACTTTGCAATGTATCACACCTAGTACCGACTAGAGAATGAGACAAAATTTCCCTCTGTATGAGCATGCCGATTGATAAATGAACATGGATGATGAAGTGGCCTGTAGTAAAACGTGAGTGGAAGCTGATTTATAATGCTACAGAAAAATAGACAAGTGGCTGTTTTGTGGTTCCTCAAAGGAAAAGCCCCATCTATGAACCATTCTCACTTAAATGAAAAAGTTTTATTATTTTAAACTTCTGCATCTAACTCCAAAGTCAAGGGAAATTCTAGGTGGAGGGAGGGGCTGGTTCCACGCTGTCACAGCAATGCAGGTGAAAATCTCCAGAGTGTGGCCAACTGTAGCACACAGAGGACCCAGGCTCTTTAAGGTAGACTGGGAAGCCTAATAACAGAAACTCAGGGCACATCAAGACAAGGTGACGTGAGGGCATCCCTGCATTCCTGACTGGAGTCAGGGTTCACACACACTTGTGTGTGCAGTCATGTAGGATGTTTTTACCTGAGCATGCAGACACACATACACTCACACACATATGAGCAGAGAAAATTTTATTACTGTCTGGATATATAATGATCCTAAGAAATGATTGATATTATTTAAAGTGTTACAGTAAATTAAAAATAAACAAAAAAATATAACAGCACTAGAGAAATAGCTCAGAAGTTAAGCTCAGGTCTAACTTCTTCCAGAGGACCTAAGTTTCAGTCCCAGCACCCACATCAAGAGGTTCACAACTTCCTGAAACTTCAGTTCCACAGAACTCCAAACCTTCTGACCTTTGTGAGCATCTTCTTTCATGTGCACACACTCACACACAGATCACACACATGATTTAAATTGATCTAATTTAATTTATATTAGTTTAAAATAATAAAGTAATTTAAAATATATAATTTTATTATTTATTTTTAGAATAAATAATTTAGACTAATAAAATATTGTGGTTTTATAATTTAATTTAAATCTTTAAATTAATTAAATTTAATTTTATTAAATAAAAATAAAATTTAATAACTTATAGTAAATTAATTTGTTTAAATTAAAATAAATACTTTAAAACAATACTCTTCAACAATCAGAGAAATATTCCCAAAATATTTATAAAAGAATGGATAAAATCACCAGAAAATAGTTCAGTGTTTAGGAAGTGAGAAATGCTTAATGATATACACAGAATAAGTGATTAGAGATATGATAGCAAGGTGACAAGCACAAATACTCAATCAAAACGTTCTCTTGTCTTTGCATTTCACTTACTAAAACCATAAAGCTTCACACTGCTTACTGGACCAATATATACACACAGAGAGAGGGAGATGGCCACAGTCAAAGGAGTGTATGGTGACTCACACCACAGGGATCCTGGAATAGTTAGTGAGAACCCACCAAGCTCTGGAAATACTTTATACACAGAATTAATAGAATGTGGTGTTTAGGATATGGGGAGAGAGAGGGAGAGTGAGAGAGAAAGTGAGGGAGAGAAAGAAGAAGAAGAAGAAGAAGAAGAAGAAGAAGAAGAAGGAGAAGGAGAAGGAGAAGGAGAAGGAGAAGGAGAAGGAGAAGGAGAAGGAGAAGGAGAAGGAGAAGGAGAAGGAGAGATAGAGAGAGAGAGAGAGAGAGAGAGAGAGAGAGAGAGAGAGAGAGAGA